AAAAAAAAAAAAAAAAAAAAAAAGTGTTAAAATTATAGGCAAACCACACATTGAAAAAGAATCTTTGGAACTCATATCAGAGACAAAGAACTAATTTTCCTAATATTTAAAGAGTTTCTAAACCTCAACAGAAAAAAGAACAACCTAGTAGAAGAATGAAGCATATGAAGTTTATACAACAAACCCAAAGGTTTTTAAAGATATGTTCAGCCTTATGACAAAATAAATATAAATATGAAGTTTTGCACCTATATTCTGCTTTGCACCTATCCAATTAGAAATAAGCTGAATTTTTTGAAAATGGGTGAGTGTAATTGAAACAACTCCTATGAGAAAAATTTGACAATCAAATTCAAAATCACTTCTAGGAATTTGTCCTACACATAGGCTCACGTACAAAATGATATGTCCAGGATTAATTATTGTGGCATTGTTTATAATAGCAAAAGACTAGAAATCACCTGAAAATCTATGAACAAAATACTGGTTTAAAACATTATAATACATCTGTACATTGAAATGCTGCTTAAATGAGTGAGAAAGGTTTTTTACATTCAATATGGAAGGATCCCCAAGACATTAAGTGAAAGATATTAAAAGAAAAAAAATTGAGGTGAAGAACATTGTGTGTAATACACTACATTTATGTTTTAAAAAAAAGTATTTATAAAATATTTTTAAAACTCTAGAGATAATATGCAAAAAAAAGAATAATAATACAAATGGTAAACTGGAAACAAGATGGGATATAGACAAGTGGAGAACAGGAAAAGGAGGAGACATTCTGCTATAAACATTGTCATAATTTTCAAAATCTTGGATACTGAATGAATGCATAACTTATTCCCAAAAGAAGCAAAGAGAATATTTATATAAATAAAAACTGGAATTTTTTTCTTTTTTGATTTAAATGTCATTTTTGTTTATCTTCCCATCACCTCTACCTAAAAATTAATTCGTAGATACCTAGCCCTGGGCTACTCTGGTGGATTGAATCTTGTTGGAGCAATGATCTCCAGTTAACGTAGTTCATGTCCCAAATATAATATGATAATTGCTTCAGGGTTAATGCTGTCCAGTCAGCTGGTGCTATCTTAAGCACACAAACAAAATCAAAAGCCTTTTAGTTGAATGTTTTTGCTGGAAAGTTGTTTTTATCTAAGGGTGATTTCTGTCCAGAGGACACTTGGCAATGTCTGGGAACATTTTTGTTTGTCAAAACTGGAAGGTTGCTACTGATTTCTAGGAGGTAGAGGCCAGGGGTGCTGCTAAACATACTACAGTGCACAACCCCCATCCCAGAAGAATCATCTGGGTCAAAAATACCAATAGTGTCAAGGTTGAGAAACCATGCTATAGAGTAATGCAAACAGAGAACTTTGTTTTACTATCTAAGGAACCATTTCCAAATTTGGTGGCTATCAGAACATTCTAAAACCGCTCTTCTAAATGATAAGGCCATAAAAATAAGTATATGTTACGATAAGTCACTAGTACATTTGTTAAATTAGAGACACTTCACAAGAGAATAAGATAATGGATCCCTAACAAAAGGGAAAATGGAAAAATGACATTTGTTACAAATCAATGTTAAGTGCAATCAATGTCCTTTCCCAGCCGATGACCCTGTTCCAGCTTCAGTTCCTGAATGCTGTTGGCGATCTGCTGGATCTGATTCCTTCATTCTCTCCCACAAAAAGCACCAACCTGAGGTTTTTGAAGCGATGGGACATGGGACATTGCTCTGCTCTTATTAAGGTGAGACACACAGCTAGTCCTTTTTCCTTGTTCTAGTTCACACCGACTTTCTCTATATATCACCCAAGTAAGACAACATCTCATCACCCCCGGCTATAAGCTCATGGGTTCCTCTATGGTAGAAGTGAAGAAATGGAAGGAACTTTGATAGAGAGAATTGAAAGTACGTGCTGTTACTCTGTTTCGCTCACCATTCTTCCCATGCGGTTTGTACCCTCCACTTGCACCTTCCAGAATCTTCCATTTTAGATGTTAGAAGGATGAGACTGTTTTGTGCGCATTCAAAATGAACCCTACTTCTTGACCATATTTTCCAGTAATACCTGAATTGACACGCTGTATGGCTCCATCACTTGTCATTGTAGTGGCACCTATGTCCCTGTGTGTCATCAACTGTCATTCTGGCTATAGGTTCTTCCTGGATTTGAGAACATCTTTTTCGCTCACTCAAGCTGGTACACATATGCAGCCATGCTCAGGATATATAAACACTGGGACTTCAACATCTTAGATAAAGACACCAGCAGTAGCCGCCTCTCTTTCAGCAGTTACCCAGGTAAATAAATTTAGAGGGATCTCTGAGTACTTGGAGTTCTATTTCAGGATAAAACCTTGGTGATTCAGAGTCAACTGGAATGAGAAAAGAAATGCTTAGCGGTACGTAGATATTCACGAAAAATCTGATTTTGAAGTGCTTTAGGAAGAAATAATTGCTCTAATGCTTTTATTTAATAGAATGATGTTTGGTTAATAGAACTGTCAAATAGGAGTTACTTTGTAAATGTAAGTTGCTGCTTCTAAGTTCACTTCAACAAATGCCAACTGAGTGGCTGTTAAGTACCAACACTTTCCTAGGCTCTGCAGTGGAAGCAACAAAGAGGGCCACAGGTCCTGCACCCAGTTACCTCCTTGAGGGTCTGAGTTGTTATATCTATAGCCTTAACTAGTGTGGGGTACCTAGTTGTTAATAAATTGCTGAATGAATGAACGAATGAATGTAAGTTTATAAACCTTATACTGCAGTCAAGGGCAAGGTAAGTACAATACAGATAAGTATAATAATATTACTGGATACTGTATATGCTACAAAAGAAGTATAAGAAATGTTCTGAGTATTCTGAAGAGAGTGAACTCACATCAGGTTTTTGTGAAAAGGAAAGAGAGGCTGCCATTTGAGATGGACATGAATAATGGCTAGAATTTGAACAGGGAGAGATGATTAGGAGAACAGTCTCTATAGAAATTGCAAATTTCTGTGCCTAAAGCATACAGGCAGGTGATGTAAATAAATAAAGGGGTTCCAGTATCAGAAAACTGAAAGGGGAAACAACTGTAGCAAACACAGAACCCACTGAAAGAATGTCACGGCTCAGCTCCCCCTGACTGTTGTTATCCAGGATTGTGTTTCCAGATCCTCCAAGTTAAGACAGAATTATGGATTTAAAGAACAAAACCCACTTCGCCTGGCTAATTTTCATTTGTATTGTTTTTTATTTTCTTTCTTCTACTCACTTTGCATTTAGTTTGCCCTTTTTTTCTAGTTTCTTAAATTAGAAGTTTAGGTCATTGCTTTTTATTTTTCTTTCTATTATGAACAAATAAACTATAAATTTCTCACTAAGCACTGCTTTGGGCACATCTGACAAATTTTGATACATTTGTTTTTCATTTTTATTCACTTTATAATATGTTCTAATTTACCACTGAATTTCTTTCATCCATAGTTTACTTGAAAGCATATTGTTTAATTTGGAGATTTTCAGATATCTCTCTGTCATTATTTTTTAATTTAATTCTGCTTTCTAATTCATTCTGTTGTAATCAGAGGGCATATGCTGTATAATTTCAAATGTTTAAACTTTTTTGAGACCTATTTTATGATCCAGAATAGGTCTATCTCAATGAATGTTTCATGTGCAGTAGAAAATAATGTGAATTTGGGTGTTCCTGAACGCAGTAGTCTATAAATGTCTTTCAGGACAATAATTGATAGTGTAGTTCAAGTCTTCTATATTCTTATTGATTTCCTGTCTACTTGTTCTATCAGTTACTAACAGAGGGATATTTATACCACCCATTATAATTATTAATTTGTCTATTTTTTATTTCGTTTCTGAAAATTTTATTTCATGCATTTCAATGCTCTGTCATTCAGTCCTTATATATTTATAAGCATTATATATTCCTAGTATATCGAGCCTTTTATCATTGAGATACGTCTTTTTTGTCTCTAGTACGAATTCTTGTCTTAAAGTTTATATTATCTGATATTAATATAGCTACTCCAGCTTCCTTATGTTTTTGTTTGCATCTTGTACTTTTTCTATTCCATTTGCTTTCAACCTGTTTGTGTCTTTGTGTTTAATGTATGTTAATGAATTTTGGTTTCTTAAAAAATCAAGTTTGACAATCTAACTTTTGATGGAGGTGTTCGGTTCATATAAATTCAATGTAAATATTTATAGATTTGGACTTAGAACTGCCATTTCACTATTTAGTCTGTTTCATCTCTGTTTTGTTTCTGTTTCTTCTTTTCTGTCTTCCTTTGTGTTCAACGTTTTAACACAAGTATTTTAACAAAATATCTTACATTTTAATGCTCTAATTGGCTTTTTAGCTTACATTTGTTTGCATTTTTTATTGCTTGCTCAAGAGAATGAAATATCCATTTTGAATTCATCACAATCTACATAAATTTAATGTTCAATTATAACTAAAAAATAGAAAATTTGGAATGGTAATAGTGCCATTTAGTCCCTCTTATCTTTTGTGCTATTATTGTCATTTGTCTGTTACATCTATGTATGTTATAAATACACCAATACAGTGTCATAGTTTTTTGATTAAACATTTATTGTCCTTCAAAGAAATAAAGGCAAGAAATGTGTGTGTGTGCGAAGCAAGCTGTTAATCGTATCATTTTTCTCCTCTGTTGTTTTTTTCTGCATTTAGATTTTTATCTTTGACTTTTTGATAGGCTATCTCTGGTTTTCTTAGTGTTTGTTTTACTTTGGGATTGTTGTGATTATAGAATCTATAAATCAATTTTTAAATTAAATGTAATGTTTTTTCAACTATTATAGCATTACATATTTTTCCATACCCTTTTCTCTCTCCTCTGCCTCTAGGGTTTCAATGACTTATCTGTCAGATGCTAAATATTTTTGTACATGTCTTTGGGGCTTTGTAAATTTATTTTATTTTATTTTGTTTTGTTTTGTTTTTGAGTTGGAATCTCACTCAGTCGCCCAGACTGGAATGCAGTGGCCGCTCCCGGCCACCGCAGCCTTGACCTGCTGGGCTCCGGCGATCCTTCACCTCAGCTTTCCAAGTAGCTGGAACTACAGGCGCACGCTACCACGCCCAGCTAATTTTTTTTTTTTTAATTTATTATAGAGATGAGGTCTCACCAAGTTGCCCAGGTGGGTCTTGAACCCGCGGGCTCAGACAATTCACTCACCTCGGCCTCCCAAATCGCGGGATTACAGGCTGAGCCACCGAGCCCAGCCTATTTTAATTTTTTAAATATATATTTTTTTATTTATTTATTCTTTAAAGATGTGGGGTACAATTCAGGGTTAGGTATACAAATGTTCATTATACAGGTACCCTCGTTGTGGGCTTTGTAAATTTTTATTCAGTTTTTTTTCTCTCTGTCATTTAGATTGGATGATTCTCATTGATCTGTCTTCAAATTTTCTGATTATTTCTTCTGCCATCTCAAATTTACTGTTGTACCATACAGTAAATTTTTCGGGGTTTTTTTTCCTACTTTTTATGTCTAGAATTTCCTTTTTTCTTTCTTTCTTTAGTTTCCAACTTTGTACTGACATTGTCTCTTTGACAACTCTTACATATTATATTTTTCTTTGGGAAACTGCTTGGTCTTTTTCTACTAAATCCAGTATCAAGGCATACTAGAAGGCATTTTCTAGGGACTTTTTAAAGTGTGCATATGGCTTTTCTGTGTCTTTTAATGTCCAGACATTAAAAGAGTTTTAATAATTTTTGGTTAAAATTTTGACTTAAAAAATAGTGCACTATAGTCAATCTGTAATTTTATTTTTGAGAATTATTGGTTTTTTTAAAGGTTTTTTTTTACATAATACTTATACATACTTAAAGGATAGTGTGATGTTTTGACACATGTATACATTGTGTAATGATCAAACTGGGTATTTAGTATCTGTCACCTAAGACATTTTTCATTTCCTTGTAGTGGGAATACTCAAAATTCTCTCTTCTAGTTATTTTGAGATATATCACATAATATTGTTAACTATAGTCAACCTATGTGCAATAGAACACTAGAACTTAATTCTTCTATAAACTATAATTTTTTATCCATTTATCAATCTCTTCCCACCCCCCACCCCTAACCTCTGGTAAGCACTATTCTATTCTCTACTTCTAAGAGATCAATTTTTATCGATTCTACATACGACTGAGATCATGTGATATTGTCTTTCTGTGCCTAATTTTACTTTACATAATGTCCTCCAAGTTTATTCACATTGCCACAAATGTCAGGATTTCACTCTTTTTTGTTGCTGAGTAAATATTGTGTATACATATCACATTTTCTTTATCCATTTATCCATTGATGGACACATACTTATTATTAATATTTCTTGCCTATTGTGCTGCAATAAACAAGGGAGTGCAGGTACCTCTTTGACATACAAATTTTATTTTACTTGGATAAATACCCAGTAGGATTGCTGGATATCATATGGTAGTTCTATTTTTAATTTTTTGAGGAACTTTCACACTGTCTTCTATAATGGGTGTTCTAATATACATTTTCACCCACAGTGCATGAAGGTTCCTCTTCCTCTACAATCTCATCAGAATTTATGTTCTGTCTTTTTGATACAAGCCATTTTAACTGGGGTGAAATTATGTCTTGTTGTGGTTTTTGAGTTGCATTTCTATGATGATCAGTGATATTGAACATTTTTTCATATATCTGTTAATCATCTGTATGTCTTCTTTTGAGAAATGCCTAGCTAGGTCCTTTGCCGATTTTTAAATCAAATTATTTGTTTCTTTGCTATTGAGTTGTTTGAGTTCCTTATATATTCTAGATATTAAACCCCTTATAAGATGCAGAGCAAATATTTTCTCCCATTATATAGGCTGCCTTTTCACTCTGTTGGTTGTTTCTTTTGCTATGCATAAGCTTTTTTTAGTTTGATGTAATCCCATTCATCTGTCTTTGTTTTTGTTGTCTGTGCTTTTGAGTTCTTATTAGACCAAGGTCATGTTTACTTCTAATACTTTCATAGTTTCAGGTCTTACATTTAAGTGTTAATCCATATTGATTTGCTTTTTTGTGTATGGTAAGAGAGAGAAGTCTAGATTTATTCTTCTGCCTGCATATCCAGTTTTCCCAGATTTCGCCTGCAGATATGTCCAAAGGTGTTGGTTGGGTAGGGTGTGTTGGCTTTGGTTCCAGGTAGTCGCAGTAGTGTAGTAGCTGTGAACTTCCTTCAGTTGTATTCAGTATCAGCAATGCTTATAAACGCTTCAGTGGCCTAGCCTTTAGGCGTTTGT